CTTTATTTTACAGTTAAAATATATGTTTATTAAATAAAGTCTAATGTTACAACTAATCAGGGATCCCTTTAAGTGAAGTCCTGTTTTCCTGAGTCACTGCTCAGAGTCCACCTGCTCAGCTTCTCCCTTCATATTGTGTACAMGGTACACCGTATGCACCGCACTGTGTTCATGTGCAGCGACCCACATGACTTCCAAAAGGCCCACCTGACGCCTCTAAACCCACAGAAAGCCTCCAACGAAAACACTGCAGGCTGTTCTGTCTCCATTACATATTTGAGAAAGACTTTGCTGTTTACACTTCTGAAAGTGCTTCTTTTTTTTTTCTTCCTTTCTTTTTCGCACACGATACTGTTGGAATACTRGGATTATAGCACCACAAATATTTACTTTTGCAGTTCAGTCTTTGTTATGAGGACTCGGGAGTATCTGTTTCCCCTCTCGGCGGTTTTCAGAGTAAAAGCTGTCGCAGCGAGAGGCTAGACAGAGCTGCGTCTCTTAAACACCCTGAACGGGGAGAATATGTGTAGGCCTGTTGTTATGGAGCTTATGCTCGTGCATTGACGTGGACTGCACACGCAGCCTGTTGATCCGGGCTCCATGTAGTGAGGACACTCACTGTTCTGCTGTAAGTAGGCATCGGAAAATGGCAGCTCCTGAGGGATCATGGTGGGTATGGAGCCCTGCAGCTTCTCTTTGCTCCTGTACCACAAGCATGAGCATATAGTTTGAAAATGCAGCACCTCGGTGTAGACGCCTTTTAAATCTTTCGCCTTTGGGGCCGAGTCTGCTACAGGTGTGGACGAGGCCGAGGCTGAGAGCGGCAACAGGCGGGACGCCTCCGCTCTGGGCTTGCCAATGGACATCAAGGCCTTCTGCTTGGCGTCGCGTCGCTCGTCCTCCATGTTCATGGTCAGGAAACGTAGCACTACCAGGTTGAGGAAGGCGCCGATCACCGTCAGGCCCATGAGGATGTAAACGAAGCAGAACGCCACGTACCGCGGGTCGTTCTGCAGCGARTCGTCCTTCTGCAGGGCCACGTAATCGCCAAAGCCGATGGTGGTGAGCGTGATGAAGCAGTAGTAGAAGGCGTGAAGGAAGCTCCATCCCTCGCAGTGGGAGAACAACAACGCCCCCACACACAGGGTGCTCAGGCAGGAGAAGAAGCCCACCGTCACCATGTTGGCCATGGAGACCTCGGTCTGACGCAGCCCCAGGCACTTCTTGGCTTGGTGCAGTAGGTATCGGACGAGCGTGTTGATGCGCTCGCCCAGGCTCTGGAACATGACCAGGGTCAGCGGTATCCCGAGGAGGGCGTAGAACATGCAGAAGACTTTCCCTGAGTCCGTGCTGGGCGCTGCGTGGCCGTAACCTGAGGGAAGGTAGATCACACAGTTTTACACCTCTGGGCACACGATGACACAGGTGGCAAAACTTTTCAGATTCATTGGGCCCCATGCAAGAACATGTTCGTATTCTTACCCTAAATTGCTCTTACTTTTGTTTGTATGAAGGGTTCGTACGAACATGTCACGTCAGATTCAACAAACTCTTCTATCTTCAGGAAAAGTGTGTAAATGAGCTGCGTAAATTCCACCTGTTCGTATCCAGCTGCTCGTGCACGAGGAGAGGTTATTTACATAATTACCACCCCAAAAACACCATATAAGGCTATGTTTCCTGCCTCAGATACAAGGAAGTGTCCATTCATGAAAATGACAGCGAAAATTAAAAAGAACTTTACGAGTTCAGAGATTGAAGTCCGTCTGTCAGAGATCCAGAAAAGAAAATCTGTCATTTTTAGCAGGTCAGCTGTGGAATAAAAAGAGCTGCTAAAAGTATAAACAACTGTGTTAAAACATTTTCATTTATTCAGAAGACACAGCGCTGCGCACCGTACCCCCCCCCCGCGTCGCAGGTGGTCTCAGATGCGGGTTTGAAATAAGCATTTTAAAATGTTTTTAAAATAAGTCTGGCACTTTGGAGAAAATCCAGGAGTCGCTGGAGGGATTGTGTACCCCCTCTGGCCTGGGAACGTCTCAGAGTCCCCCAGGACGAGCTGGAAAGTGTCGCCGGGGAGAGCGGGGTCTCCTGCTGCGCCCGCACCTGATAGCGGATATAAGCCGGCTGGACGTAGAATTTATATTGTTAGTCTAAATTATTACATTTAAAATTATAACTCTAATTCAAGCAGAATAACTTATTATCAACATAATTATGGAGTGTGATTTATTTTCAACTCAAATTATCTTCAACTAAATATAAAGTTATTAGTGAAGAAAACCCGTCTGGATAACAGCAGACTGACTGCTCGTAAAATATACGACAGGTCTGGACCACTCGTAAATTTTGTTCGTATCTGAAAAAAATCTTAGAAAACGAAAACGTTGGTGAATGCCACAAATTCTCCTAAATCACTCGTACGCACAACTTAAGAACAAATCTGTGCGTACGAACGGTTTTTGCATGAGGCCCAATGTTCTCTCACATTTCACTAAATTACTGATAAAAGTTAGACATTCAGTCAGTTTGTTAGCATTACAACAAAAGAGCCTTCCAGATGTTTTTCTTTTATTCCATCTTCACTGTAGATGTCTTCAAACATTTTACAAGGCATAAGTTATACAGAACGTCATAGTGTGACAGGGCCTTTAAGTAGATGTATAGATACTAAGGTTAAAAATGCTTTTTTGGAAGTAGATCAACTCAGATTTTTACTCAAGTAAAAGTATAAAAGTACTGTTTTAAAACTATTTGGAGTATAAAAGTCAAAGTAATGTAAGGGAAACAGTAATTAAGGGCAAAAGCTCAGGCTACACCACAGAGGTCTGTAGTGCACAACCCCACCACTCCAATAAAACATTTTTCTAAAGGCACTAAGGACTATAAAATATAATCAAATGTTAATGTTGGAAAATGTGCTAGGCTACTTGTTTCAACTACATGTGTCTCTACCTCGTATTATGCATCTGATGTGTCCTGCTGGAGTGTGATGTGATTTGTGTCATACAGGTGTGATGGATTATCCAAACCAATCAGGTGTCAGAATGATATAAATTTATATTTCTCATCCAACCACAGCTAATTTCACTCTATCCAGTAGCTACCATGTCTCTGGATAGGTTTATTTTCCTTTTTTTAAATGATGAAAAGCTCAAATGAAAACAAGCCAAATTGAAATAGAAATAAAATAGTTTTTGCATTTTTAAAATGTATGGAGTAGAAGTAAAAAGTAGGGCAGTGCTATTCAATTGGCGGCCCGAATGACCAAAGTTCGGCCCACCAATTGGTTCACTCATCTCTTAAGCCCAAACCCCTGGTTTTCTACTTTAATTACTCTAGGTTCTTTTAGTTGTAGACTAAGACGTTTCTGTATCTACAGAAACGTCAGAATCTTGGCTACAAGCTGGTATAAACCATTTCTATAAACATCCAAGACAGTTAAAACTACAAGCGGTTGAAGATAAAACTATAAAAGTGAAAATAAAATTGGTTTAAATATTTGGCAAGTCAGAGATGTCAAAATATTTTGTGGTAAATAAGAGGAAAATATGTTTCTTTTTTATTTTTTATCATCACTACATTTATTAAATAGATTTCTGTAAGTTTTCATGATTAAATACAGCAAAATTTAGTATTTCAAAGGTAAAAGATCTTTGTAATACTTAGTTTATTTACATAACAACTTTAATTGCTGGATGTTCGACCCCAGTGCCATTGGTCTGCATTAACTGTGGTCACCGGAGCAATTTAGTTGAATAGCCCTGAAGTAGGGTGAAAAAGTATAAATACCCAAAATATCTACTCAAGTAAAGTAACAAAGTATTTTAGTTACTTGACACCTCTGTAGGAAACAAGATTGTAAACGTGTGATTCACACAGGAAACTAAGAACCTCCCAAAAAGTTACGAAACATTTTGAAGGCCTTTGCCAAAACACAGTGAAATACTGGCTTTTTTTCCTTAACTTCCACTCTTTATCAGCAGAGATTATCACAGCAATCATCAAAATTATTTACTTCAATTATCATGAGTTGGTCCAAACATCAGGACACATCCTGAACCAAAACCACACCTTCCCCAAGATGTGAAAGGTCATTTTACAACTACACAAAAACTCGTTTTTTTAGACATATTTATCTTTTTTGTGAAATTCATATTTTCTCTCTTTAGCAAACAGACCAAGAACAGATACTAAGATGGCATATTGCACAAATTGTGCCACAAAATGAAAATTGTTGCAAGATGAGGTAATTTTTTACCTCAAGTTTTAAGAATAAAGTCAAAATGATAGAAATAAAATTTAGAGCGTTTTTTTAATTGGGGTCATGACCTCATTATGTGGCCACAAAACATTAACTCTAGGGTCTTGTGTTAAATATGTTAAATTGGTCTAATGTTTTTTGTTAGTTTGTACATGCTTATTGGTCTGATTGTAATGTTAGCCAAAGGGGTCACAGGTTTTTGACACTTTTATTTTGTGGGCTGGTTGCTCAAACAGTTGMGGTGGCTYGGGCATCTGGTCAGGATGCCTCCTGGACGCCTCCTTGGTGAGGTGTTTCGGGCACGTCCCACTGGGAGGAGACCCAGAGGAAGACCCAGGACACGCTGGAGGGACTATGTTTCTCGGCTGGCCTGGGAACGCCTTGGGATTCCCCCAGAGGAGCTGGAAGAAGTGGTTGGAGAGAGTGAAGTCTGGGTCTCTCTGCTTAGGCTGCTGCCCCCGCGACCCGATCCCAGAGAAGCGGAAGAAAATGGACAGACGGACAGAAGGTTGCTAAAACATTTAGGAACTGCTGGCTTAAAGATTAAACAAGGAATCATAAATTAAACTCTCACTGGCATATGTTAGGTACAGCTTAAATCGATTTTTCAGCACAATAATAAAAAAAATAAAAAGAGCACAAATCCAATATTTTGCATCTGGAGCTGCGAACAACCTACAAGTAACTTCTCAGAATTTGTAAGAGTTTAGACTGCAGCCTGTGTCTTAATATG